TCTTATTTATTTTTAAAAAATTTTGTGCATCATTAATTTCAACTAAGAGAGTGCTCCAGAACTTTAAGAATACTAAAAAGGGTACGTCACAACGTCTTTTTTTTAAATAATTACATTGTCACCACGTATAGCTTTTTGAGAGCATTTATTATACATCTATATGTTTCCAAGAGAATGAACAGCATCATGTCTGGAATTCTCGTGGTCTCGCAAAAGGTTTTTACATATTGTTGGCATAATGATAACTATGTGTCTTATCTACGAGTCGAGGCTGAAAAATAATTATAAATTTTTTCCTCTGTATCGAAGCAACTGTGTAGAACCTTCTGTAAATAATTATTTAAACCAAAATAGGTATCCTAACATGATCACCAAGCAGAGTTATAAATTCATTCTGTATTTTTTGGAGAGAGATATAACACTATGATTTGCTTGACAATACGTGCCTCTTTAACCATAGCAATTTGTTGACCTTGGCAATTTGTTGACCTTAGCAATTTATTGACCTTAGCAATATGTTGACCTGCAACTTCGTTATGCTTAGCTAGTAAAAACATAGATTCTAGAAATGTTTTTTGTTATACTTTTTACCATAATATGTTTTTGGTAATATCTATTAATTTTAGAAAATCTTTTTTACCATTTGTAATATCTGCTCTATGTCCTTTTAAAAATAAATTTTGTCTTCTTATATGAACAATCTAAAATTAGTTTTAGAAAAGCCTTCAATTTTGCGTAGAACTTGTTTTGTTCCATTAATAAAGCAAAATCATTCGTTGATACATGAAGTAGTCTTTTGCCCAAATCTTTCTAAAGGATGACATATTTAAGATGACGTTGATTATTCTCGTTCTGCTTGATCCTAGAATTCAGCTTTTTCCATTTAAAAAATCTTTCCGTGGTTCCAAAAGCGCTACTATTATTGTGAAAAAGTCAACAACAAAAACAATATAAAGCATTTTTAAAGGGTGAAAAAAGTAGCTATGATTTCTCTACCATTTGAATACTTGGTAAAAAATTTATAAAATTAGTAACAAGATAAGGAATGATGCAGTATTTCGGCAATGGATGTTCCTAATTTTAGATTAGGACTCTTTTTAATCATTTTCTGTTTCGAATGTTTATCTAAAACTAATGGCGAATACCCCTCATTAATAAATACATTTAGATTCATCACTTTGTCAACTCAGCCTCAAAACAGTCACCTACCGGTTGTGGTATGATTTTGACTTTCTAAGAAAGCAGTTCTTCATCAGTTTGCGCATGATCACAATTGATGTCATCTAATTTTGGGCATTCATTGCATTAACCAATCATTATGGTGAAATCTAATGAAAGCAGCATTTTTCTTGTTGAACTATATCGTCAGCCCGGAATTCAAGTGTCGTATCGAAAATTTATTAAAACTTTATATACAAACATGTAATTATCTAATTTATGTAACTTTAAAGTTATGAAAATGTACAAAACTATTTTTTATGTTACGTTTAGGGATTGCAATCCCGGGACCCCGGATCCCGAGATCCCGGGATCCCGAACATTTTTGGGTCCCGAAAATCCCGGGATTCTAAACACAAAATCCTGGGATTTTCGGGATTATAGCAGGATTGAACTAATTAAATTATTTTGTAAAACAAAATGTTCAAAGTTGGTAACTATACTCAATTATAACGAGTTATATAATGCTGCTTTGCAGGTTTATCCTGTTTATGCTTTATCCTTACGATAAATGGAACAAATTTTTGAATAGACCATGGAGTTCGGGATTTTATCATTGAAAAAAGTTTCACAAACACAAATTAAGGCAGGTTTGTTTGACTATTGTATAAAAAACAATCGTTAAGTTTGTTGGCAAGACTTCTCGCGTTAAAAAGATAAATTTTAAAATTGTTGAGCAAATTTGTGGTTAAGTGATTGCTTGAGTTTATTAAGTCGTTTTGTTCATTTCAAAAAATATTTTTAGAGAATAAAAAAAATAAAAATGAACAAGTAATAAAAAAAAAATTATATCTAAAAAATTTAATGATTACTACTTAACAATTCCCTTTGGGATATTTCTAGCGATTTGTATAATTATATTTGTACAATTATTAGTTATTGCAACATTATAATGCCCTTGACAATTTATTCCGCTTGAAGGAATTCTAGTGTGAATACATACAAAATTTGACTAATGAATCGTTTTGTGTAATGAATCGTTTTGAACGTTTTGAACTGATAACCTTTTTAATGCTTTTGTTGTTTACCGCAATAATATGTTGTTTACTAATGCACCTTAAAAAAATATCCTTCTAAACATGAATGAAAACAGTGAAAAGGGAACATCATTTTTTCTACACAAAAAAGATAAAGACCCAACTTCAGTGTGGTCACATTATTTGAAGTCTGCGGATAATTTGGCAGCAAAATGTAAGAAATGTGGTGTAATTTTAAAAACATTGGGTGGTTCTACAAAAGGCCTTCATACGCACTTATCAACTAAGCATAATTTAAAAGTAACTTCAGCCGACAAAAATTTACCTAGTTCGAGTCAACAGTTGAATGATGCCAGAACCGACGAGAAGCCTCCTACGAAACGAAGAATAACGAGTTACTTTGCATCCGAAAAAAAAAAAACCTTAGACGAAACACTGGCTCGAATGACAGCTTTAGTCTCTCAATATTAACAAACAACTAATTATCTTATTTTTTACAAAGTAGCTTGTTGCTACAGCAGCTACATCGGTACCCAAATTTAAGAAAATTTATGTTTACAAATTTATTTTGAAATTTTGATTGTTTAGTTACTTTCGTCAAATACACTTTAAATGTTCAAATGTTATTTACATATCCAATTATTTGATGAAAGTTATTCTGTAAAGTCTGTAATCTTAATATGGAAGGTACCGTATATATATTTCTGCATTATTTTAACATCTTTATATACACTTGCTGCCTGTTACACAATTAAAACAATTTAAGGCGCCGTAGAAAATTAATGTAAGTCATTAAAACATAATGAAATTAAATAAAGAATTGATAACATCAAAAAGTATATTCATATATGCAGTATTAAGTTCTGTTTTTTAGCAAATAACTCACATTATATAAAATCCCGAGATACCGGGATCCTGGGATTTTATTTACTTCAATCCCGAAATCCCGGGATCGTAATTCATGCCCGGGATCGCAATCCCTGGTTACGTTATAATATAATGCTATACAAAAATAACTTTTTTCATTATGATTATGTTAAATTTACATAAATTAGATAATTACATATTTGTATATAATTTTATTAAATTTTTGATACGACAGTGTATTCCGAGCTGACAATATTATAAAATTTGTTATTACATTACTAAAAAATAAAACAATATATTGTATTGTTTTCTTTTTTTTTATATAGAAAAAATAAAG